GGACAAAGTGAAGAGCGTTTTCCAGCTTTTAACGTGTCACTTTGACCGTGGCCCCTAAACTGACATCACTTGGCGGCTTCTTGATTACCAAACTGAATGCAATTTGTTGGGAAAAGTCAAGTGCACATTGTTGCGGTAGTTACATTCAGCAGTTTGTAGTGCCTCCTCTGTCGGTCAGTTATAAAGTACAGCTTTACTTCTTTCCTTTTTATGCCTTCCCGGTTGTTGTTGTTGTGTTGAAGAAATGATACTAATAGATTTCACCCTGACTGGATGGCCGTTGGCCCAGGGTCAGGAGAGCACAGGTAGGCTTTTTGTGTATTACAATACCTGGTCTGAAGGTAAGGGTAAGGTTCATCACCGCTGATATTAATAGGATGCTGCTTGTAAGTGGGGTTACGTGACTCACCTCTCGGACAAGAATGACAATGACCAAGGCCTGTGTAGAAGGTAAAGGGATTGATGTGGTTATAAATTACTCCACGGCGCCACCTAGCCGAGGCCTTGCCTACTTTGTCATCAGCACAAGGCGATAAAGCAGGGAAATGAGAGCAGAGCCCCCCTTTTAATACATAAATGAATACTCTATGAGAGTGGTCATTATTTAGGGCATGCCATTTTCAAGCAGTTGTACAGAACCAAATGACACGGATAGACCACCTCGTCGCTGCAGCTTGAGAAACTGGTTGAACTTTTTTCTTAATAACCCATTGACCTCCATTTATTTATGACCCTTCCATACATTTTTTTTTCTAAATATCATATTCAAAATGTAAGTAATTTTCACTCAAGGGCAACTTCATAATTCAATCCTCTGAGGGCAGCAAAAAAGGCATTCACCTTTCACTGACCAAAATATTTTAGTAAGCAACTTTTATAATTGGCTGTCCAAGCTAGGTCTTGACCCATAAAGTCCAGAAGTGCCAAAACTGGAGAAATAGATTTAATGGAAAAGCCTTGCTGCCTCTTTGCCCTTAAAAAAATGTTCAGAGAATATGAGCTTCTGAAAATAGAGCTGTAAATAACCTGACGAGCAATGGGTTTTCCTTTAAATAAATACCGATCAGGTTTATGTTGAAAGACAATAGAAAACGTTGCCCAGATATGCAGTTTACAGTATTTATAGCTGTAATATCTAGGTGCCAGCACCGTAATTTCATGCCCCAATGAGAATGGCAAGGTCACAGCAAATGCTTTGGCAGAGCATCTGCTAATACGGCGACTCATAAACAGGCACTACGTGTATCAGGTGCACCAAATAATACAGTATAATGAAATACAGAATAGCTTTCCGTTATTGTTCTTTTTTATGGTGTCGTCATTAGGTATAATTTATGTCTTAAAAATTCATCTCCCTACAGGTCGATCTGAAATGGGGGTCCAGGGGTCATTCCACAGGTTTTGGAGCCAATAATAAATCCCCAGTTCCTTTTTTGTCTTTTCCTTTTTATATGTAAAACTCACTTTCACCTTGTTCTTTTTTCCCTCTGGATCTAAGGGTTCTTTTATTTGTTCTTGTCTTCCTTTAAACAATAAACACATCAGAGCCTCCAATCAATTTAGCATGCTGCATTTTAAATAAAAAAAGGATTTTTTTTTCATTTCTAGGTGAAAAAAGGAAATAAACGTTTGTTTTCCTGAGCTATCACTAGCTACTAGGTTGTACATATTAATCTCAAGTATGTATGAGTAAAAAAAGGATTTTACATTTGAAGGTGAAATAGATTTTTCCCCCTTTTTTCTGTTGCTTTTCCTTTATTTGGGTAAACTGAGATCGCTGCAGGTCTCACTCAATAGTCTGTCACCATGTTGTCTGCTGTGGTCAGATGAATCAGGAGTCCAGGGACACATTATTGCTTATTTGACATTGCAGTCTGGCTGCACAAGCTCAGCACACGGCCTGCACCACTTCCTGGCACTCAGGACCTGCTGTAGACTAAAGGCTGACCAATATTTTTCTTCAATTCAACAATTTTCACGACCATTCCTGAGTAGGGATGGGTACCTTTGATATTTGAATTGATTCGGTACTAATTCCCGGTATCTAGGAATCGATACCGGTACTTAACGGTACCAATTTTCGATACTTTTGAGTGTTCATTATTTTCATTCTCTTTTATAATTAAATATATATTTTTCTCAATATTTAACAATATTTTATAAATAGCACGAAAAATAACTGTTTGTATTTTAACATTGTCCTTGTAGTTTTATAAGCTGATAATTAAACTGAAGCAAACATCTTTATTGTGAATTAAATTTACTGTGTATCTTCATTCCTTTTGCCATCTTCTTTCATTTGATTTTTCCTACTGGGAAGTTAGAATTTCCGAGGAGAAAGCGAACGCACCATTAGCTGATAACAATGGTGGCAATGGAAGCTAATTTGTCAAGCAAACGTTATCTTAAACAGTTTATTTAACTGCTGGAGCAGATTTAAACGATGATGCCTCACACTTAGATCGTTGTCACTGGTTTCATCTTCACCCAATCACCCGTCGCATTTAGTAAAGTGAAGCCAAACTTTAGAGCGTGTTCATGTTCTTCTAGTCGGAAATTCGGAGTTCCGAGGAGAAAGCGAAACGGAAGCTAACATATCAAGCTAATGTTATCTTAAACATTTTATTTACGTACCATAGCAGATTAAGATGAGGATGTCTCACTTAGATTGTTGTCGCTGGTTTCATCATCACCCAGTTACCCATCACATTTAGTGAAGTGGACCCAAGCTTTAGCGTGCGTTCTTTCTACCATGCTGCTCTGTTTTCAACTGGCTTGCAGTGACCGACGACATAACGCTCTTGCGCATGCGCAGCTGTCTTGGCAAGTTCTCGTTATGAAGGACGGGTACCGAAACGAGGCACCGTTTGAAATGACATGAATCGGTGCTCAGTCGGTACTATGGAATTCGGTCGGTGCCTTAAAAAGTACAGAATTCGGTACCCATCGCTATGAATCCTGAGTAGATTTAAATAAGTGACTGAAGGAATCTCATCCTGGCTTCAGTTGCGTGAGAGATCATACAAGGAATTGTTTGTGCACTTTTGTCCATTTATATAGGGTGGATAACATGGAATTTCTCATTGAATGGAACTTCTTTGGTCGCTTTAAAAGTCTTTTAATTGTCTTTTCTTGTATAAAAGTTATTAATACTTACTATTTAATTGCTTTCCTATGTTTGTAGAAATGTAATGTGCACTTCTACAGGACTGATGAGCAATGTCTAAAACCTTTAATGTTCTAAGCAGTTTTGAGATTGGTAGCAGTACACTTTGGGTTTGTCTGCACTTGGACTAGCCACTAGCTCATAGGTCCTGAAGAATGAAACTATAGGAGTGTCCAAATTCAGGGGTAGCATTATTGCACGCTCTGCGGTGCTAAGCAGATGTGTAATGCTACTGGTTCATAATTACATGCTGCATTTGATATTGCCTTTTCTAGATTCCTGGGACCCCCCCCCCCCCCCCCCCCCCCCCAAGACGCTTTACAACACCATCAGTAATTCACCCATTCTCCCCTGGTGATGATGAGCTACATTGTAGCCACAGCTGCCCTGGGGCACACTGACAGAGGCCGTACACAGGCACCACCGGTCCCTCCGACCACCACCAGCAGGCACAGCGGGTTTAGTGTCTTGCCCAAGGACACAACGGCAGTGACCTGCAACCTACCGATTACGGGGCGAGCACTTAACTCCTGTGCCACCATTGCCCCACATGAAGCTCTACAGGACACGGAGCAGGCTTGAAAAAAAAAGATGTTTTACCTACATTACATCACAGTACAGGATAAGACAATCACTTTCATGGATTAAAAAAAAATCATACAAATCCTGAAAGGGCAAAACATCTATGTCAGCTTGCACTTGCAATATAGAACTGACTATAAGCTTCATGAACAGATATTATTCTGGAGAGGTTGTTTGTATAGAAGTTGTTCCTTGTAGGTAGGAGAGTTTTCCTGCCTTAAATATTTGCTAAATTTATTGTGACAATTCACGTGGGAGCATGCTACCTAAAAATATAATAACTGACCTCCGTGCAACTCCAATTCATGACAACTGTCACTTTTCTATTAACCTGTCACATTTGACCTTTTTGTGTTCCTTAATCTTTAGGAAATAAAAAAGACCTACATTACACATAGATAGTAGTAATTGCATAGTAAAAAGTTTTTCTAAATCAATGAAAATCCAAGATATCATTTAAATGTGACTGTTTCCATTAGCTCATCATTCAGTAACTACAGGATGTTTCAGTTTTTGCTTTCTGTCTGTAATTTTCTCTTAATTGTTTTGTTATAAATGAGTTGAAGCTGCGTTTTTAATATAGTTCTAATTATTTTCCTTTGTTTAGACTAGGATACTCATTAAACAATGAGACCCATAGCAATGGCAGCATATGGTGCCTGAAATAAAATCCTTTCTTGCCACAAAAGGAGATGTTCATATTAGATTTTTTCCTCTCTTCCCCTACGATTCTCCATCAGGGAGCCCTTTGCAATTTAATCATCACTAAAATCATTAAAAATATCTGAAGATTAAATTATATTGGCATTTGCAAAATTATGTAATACATTTACATTACAATGAAGAAATTAAAATAATGCATTTTAGCTGTCTGGGGTGTATGAAATCTCCACATGGGAAATATAACTGGAGAAGTGGACAGACTCTTATTTTCTTTGCCTTTGGTGGCAGTTAATAGGCTAGCAGTCTCAGATTTCATTGTGTGAACCTTTCTCCACTTCCTTTGATGGATGTCTCCGAAAATCTCAGTGGTGTTTCTCAATTGTGAAATGAAAATAAATTTTTGAGTCGAGGGTTTGTAAAATTGAATGAGATTTGACATACTCTCTGAATTGTACTTAAAACAATTTGTTAGAAGGTTGGGAAGTATTTAGTTACATTATTACAGCAAAGGGGCCATTTGGATTTTAACCCTAATTTGGAGGCGCTGAATAGTAGTGGGAATGATTTTAAGGATTTGTGTGGATTCCAGGGCTGACGGATGGGGAGGTAGAGTTGGCCATCCAGCGCTCTGGCAGCACTGAGGAAGTCCTGCCTTTGAGTCCCATGGGACACCCACTACCACCATATGCAGTTCCTGCACCACCCAGTAAGTACTCAGGCCTTTTTCTGCTCTTTTGCACCCATGAACCTAAATAATAATTACATTTTAGTGCATTTTATCATTCCAGTAACAACTTTGAAGTGATAAATTAGAAGCTTCAGCACATATATGAATTTGAAAATGTTTAATTGTAAATTTAGAAACAAAGAACATCATCTGAGCTCATGAAGCCTTGGGCTACTCTGTCTCAGGGGGTTCCACCTTAGCAAGACCCCACACCCCAACCTGTATCTTTATTACCTCAGGAGGTTGTGAATTCTGTCCACTGATTTACCAATGCAGAATGAAGTCCGCGTAATGCTTAACCCATATGACAATGATTCCAGATGTATTCCACCCTCATTTATTACCACACTGTCCTTGACTCCCTGGCATCTCATGTTTTGTAATGAAAGTGATGTTGATGGGATGGCCATGTAGTTAGGGAGACTCGCAGCTCTCCGTCCATTGTAGGGGGTTTTATATCAAAATGGCTATAAGGGAGCTGCATAATGAGGTGAGAGCGGGAAGTCTTGTATGGGGGGTCATGCTGAAAAGAGGGGGCTACCTGCTTATGATGTCCTTCTAACGGGGATGGTGCACAGAGACCCGCATCCATCTCTGTCGCAGTAATGGATACTCTGATCTCTATTTCCACATGGTAGAAGGACAGGAAGGCCTCCACTGAACCCAATAAATTTGAGAGGAGATTGGAAAAACGGGGGATGGAGTCCACAGTTTCACAGCTTAAGTGACCAAATAAAAAAAAAAGGAAGATGGCAGTGCTGAAGTGGTATAGAAAAGGGAAAGACAGTCAAGAATGAGATGCCCTAAAGGAGGGGGGGAAAGAGCAAGTGAAGAGCCTCTAGTGATGCAGTCAGGCTTGTTCAGGGTCAAACACCCAACCCAAGGACTCTAAGGCCCTTCAGATGCCTGCTGTTCTGGGATAGGTGACAGTCTATCCCGGCTCTAATGTTGATGAAGACCCAAATTTATGTGGTTATCATATGGATGTTGAAGAATGATTCAAAAATTTTCGATGGGAAAGGTTACAGGTTCATGAGTGCGGCAGCAGTAGTGAAACTTGCCCTTCAGCAGGGAAAATAAAATGACACTCACCTTGAAAATATTCTATATATATTTATATATATATATATATATAGTCTTGCATGAGTGGTCTCCTGTTTTATTTGCATATAAAATCACAAGTGCTAAGGCAAAAGATCAATGTAGTTTACCTACTTTAGGCAATAAACATGTTCAGCGAACCCATTAGGTGGAATCAGACCTGCAATAGAATATCAACGGTGTGCTTTAGAGGGGGACGCTTTGCAAAATTTGTATTTATTTTGGCTACATCAGAGTAAATAAAAAAACTCACTCATACTTCTCTAGATATGTTGGCTGTTTAGTGACATTTTCAGTTGAATGCCTCTCCTGAGTGGGGAATTTCCACCTTGACAGACAGTTGGCCTACCCAGATGACAGCTTGCACAATGACACACTTTCACATTATCCGTCACTCAGCACGACAGCCAACTTCTAAATGCACATATACACTCTTTCTACTTTTCTGTTTGCCTTAGGAGCTTTTTAACAAATAATATATGTATATTTTTAAGGAAGAAGCAGTTTTCCCCACTTACTTGTAATTATGTTTAACATTTCATAGTCGTTCAGCAAAAGGCAGTGGTTTTTTGTCTGATGGTTCCACATTTTAGGTTTTCTTTTATCATTTTGTATCCAGTACTTTTAAAAAATATTTGCCCTTACGTTTAATTTTTGTTGTTGTTCACATTAAACGGTTGAATATGGTACACAAACACCAAAGCGACATCTAGTGTGTGGCGGTTGTAGTTGCAACACTAGAACAAGGTTTCCAGCCGTCAGGAAACCAGGTTTGCTTCTGACACATGACATTTTTAATTTGGGTCCATGTTGTAGGCTTCACCTAAACTCACTCTGGTTTTAGATCTTTTACGGTCGCTCCTCTTCTGAGAAGGATAACGACATCTTCTGGAATTAGAAGCAGCTGCTTGAATTGCCAAGTCCGCCATCTTCCACAGGGTCAGCCTCGCTGCGCCAAATGGACTGTTTTTTTGTATTTGGCAACCTGCAATGGCGCCCTCTGTTGGCTAGTAGATGAAGACATAAACCCAGTGTCGTGTCCTCCAAAATAAATGTCTGATTGTTTTTTAAATTAAAATATAGCTAGAAAGAAAATACTGTACTTCCATTCTCAGGGTTTTTCCTGCATTCAAATTTGCATGGCGGCCGCCTCCCGCTATTTTTGTGCCGCCCCAGCCTGATTTCACTCTGGCCCCAGCTATATGGATGTTATTTTAACTGCAGTTGCAGCATTCCACCACTACAGGGGCGCTGTATCAGCAGCGGGGCACCAAAACCCGCTAAAACCACTGCAGAAAAAGTTCAAAAATAGCTTTTCTTGCTAGTTGGTACATATCTATGGTTGGTGCTATTGTAGGCTGACCATACGTCTTCTTTCCCCCAGACATGTCCACTTTTCACTCTCTGTCCTGGGCGTCCGCGGTGTCCTAATCAGTGGTTCCTAACCTGGGGTCCTGACCCCCACAAGGGGGCGCCAAAGCCTCTCAGTGGCTCGCCAGGACCTCTCTTCTTTAAAGGGTTAAAACTTCATTTATTACTTGTTTATAGCCTACATTTTGCTCACATTTTTTTTTCATGAGTGAAAAGTTTACTGATATTAAGACAGGAAATAATTAGTACAGAAAAAGTAACACACTTTTAAGAACATTTTGCTCAGCTCACTGTTTTATTTTCAAGTGTCAAAAGTTCATTAAAGGTGGGACTGGTTGATTAATCACAGCCTTTACAGTAAATAATCTAGTATACACAGTAATATACACATTTAAGTACATTTTCCTCAGTGTATTTTTTATGTGTCAAACATTTATTGAAAGGAATGATTGATTTATCAGTGTTTACAAGAAACAATGTGCTCAGAAAAGTAATACAAACTGTCAAGCATATTATGCTCCGTTTGGTTTTGTTAATGACTTTGTTCTGTACTGGAGCCTACTATTACTGTTATCTATTGAATCAAAGCATATTAAAATGTGCTTGAACAATTTTATCATTTCTTAATAATGTTTGTACTGGAAGAGAGAATGGGAGGGGGTCGTCAAAAATTTTACTGGTAAAAACGGGGTCCCTTGGGAAAAAGGTTGGGAACCACTGTCCTACATTAATCAAAATGTCCGGTTTTTCATCCAGGAGCACGGATCGAATAATGGGGGGCTAGATATCGTTCAGGGAAAGATCCAGTTTCTGCCTATATTACAATATTTATGGACTCCCAGTGTAACGGGATTTTGTTGAGCAGAGCGCTGATGGTTGGTGTGCCCGCTGCGTCCAGTGCACGATACATCCTCAAGGTGGCGCAACAAAACATTATTATTAACACATGATCGTTCATATCCGTTTAAATCCTCCGGTATTCTGTTTTGTACTCGTTCCTGGCGCGCTCCGCTCATCGTGTGCTGCGGTGATTTCACCTCACTGACGCAGCATCGAAACGCGCACTCCGCTTTGCGGTCAGGAGATCCCTTTGATCTGCTCAAAAGTAACTGATGAGGTGAAAAGGTAAGAATCCAGGCAGCAGTTTTTCTGGAGAATTTAGAGGAGATGCAGGAAGATGAGAGACAGACAGGACAGGAAAATATCCTGTGTTGGACAGGTGCTGTGTCTTGTTTCTAATTCCATGTTCTGTTCGTTCTGTTTTTTAAAACACAGACACGGTTTCGTTACCTGTGTTTTCGCTATGTTTCGTCTGCGGCTGCAGACTTCCTCAGGCTGACGCTGATGGTGGCGCGTCACTTCCTTCTCCGTTTATCTGCGGGCAGCAGAGGACGTTGTCGCCCTCTGGGCTAAAAGGCAGAATATACATTTTGTTTGTTTTTTCTCATTACATTGGAACTTCATGTTGTCCCACATTTGGCAAGTTGGAATCTGGTCACCCTAAATTCAGATCACCTTCAATACTCAGTCACACACCCAGGGCCGTTTCAAGGCATTTTGGGGGCCAAGGCAAAACGGAACACCCCCAACCCTAACCCGTACATAATAGACATGCCACCATTACATTGTTAGTAGCAGAAATTAAATGTTATTACCATTTCCAATACAAATGCATGTTAATGAAATGCATGATATTTTACTGCACATATTTATGTGTTATTTTGACTAAGATGAGTGTTATTAATACAAACTTAAAATGTTACTGAAATGTAGGTCAAATATATAAAAATTTTTTAACTATAAATATCAGATGGGAAAAAAGGAACTAAACACCAATCTAATGCATATTATTGAGCCTTTTATAATAGTTTGCCTTTAAAAAAGTGAGGCAGTTGAATGCACAGAGTACGCATGTGCTGGCGCATGGTCAGGATGGTACCACCTCTGCCTCAATTTGAGCCAGGAAAAGCCCTGATTCTGCACACCTCTAAATGCCCCATGGATGTATTATTTTTGTAAAAATATAGCTTTTTATTAAATTGTACCATATTCAACTTTTAAATGTTTTAAATCATCAAATAACTTTACATATCAGACAAACAAAAGCTGAACACATACAGAAGGCAGCTTTGTAATGATTATTTTGTTTATTGAATAAAAAAAAGCTATCCAAACCAACCACAAACAGTAACTGACCCCTAAACATAATAATTGGTTGTCAAGCATTTGTAATAACCAGTAATGAGTCTCTCACATCACTGTGGAGGACCTTTATCCCGCTCCCCTCTATTTTCAATCAGCCACATTGGAGAGTTTGCCAATAGGGAGGTGTATTGGCAAGAATCTGGTTGTACAAGACAGTTCAGGGAAAACATTCTGATATACTGCAATACCAAAAGCCAGTTTATATTTTTAAATATTTGCAAAAATTATATTTGAATTTGACTGAATTTAATTGAAAAACTCGGGGCTGATGCTTTAAAGACACATCTGGTTTAATCTTGAGAAGGAACGTGATCATACCTGCTGCCCACTAGCAGTTGGGGTTTGAATTACGCCCAAAAGAAAAACAGTAAGTGTTTGCATGTAAATTCCCATAAAAAATCCTAATACAAAATATCAGGAAATTTCAGTGTATTGCTATTTTCTTACATTCCTATTTTCCAGCAGGGCATTCTAAGGTTGAATTGCAAAGAGAGCAGTTACTTTTTCATTTAGAGCCGGGTTGGTTTGGATAACTTGTCTTTATTAATTGAACTCTGTATTTTGCATTAACTCACATGATCTGATCTTAGGGAGCTAATGCAACACTGTAGGGGTATTTTCTCTGAAATTCCTACATTATATCATTAAGATCATGTAGTTTCAGACCATCAGCATTTAATCTGCATTGTTTTCTTTCTCAAGCTCCTGCAGGTTACAGATGGAGAGACTATGGCGCACTCACTGTTGTTATGGTGGGCATCGCTTTTGGCTTTCATCAGCTTTACAAGGCAAGTTACCATAACATTATGACTATTTACTGACTATTCTCTCACAGTAAATGTATAATCTACGTACAGCACCCTAAAATGGTTTGTATTTCCTCTCCTTTGTTCTACACAGCAGAGTCAGTAGACTACAAACTGTGGCGCCCTGACCCGTCTCTACATCAGAGCATGATCTCATTTTAACTCCTTTATTCTTTTTACCGTTTCTATCAAATAGATATTTTTCCAATAAGAATTACATTTACCATCACAGCACAGAACCGTTATTTTGAACGTCCTGCGGTCTAAAATAAAGCCCTGGGGTTTTTATTGGGCTCAGCAGCCCTTGAACATGAGCTCACGAGGTTCCTTGTCCACCGTGACATTGATCCCACACTGGTTGTTAGTAGTAGTCTGAATGACATATGGAAACCATTACTCTAGTTTTAGAAGGGAAAAGGACTTCTAGCACTAGCTCTTTTCCTGGATGACAGGTCTTTCTGCTTTGTGTTTATAAGAGCCCATAACATGTACGTACATATACCTATCTGGGTGTATGTACACATACCGTCCTGACAGGGAAGTTTCTTTAAATTCTTTTTATTTCCTATTAATCATTCAAAGCTTTTTCTACAGCTGCACACCCGTTGTCTTTCTGAGCTGGATAAAACAAACAGTGTACCAGCCCACTGTTTCCTACACAGAAATGTTGTTTGGTAGCAAGGAATCCCTGGTGGGATGGCACAGGTTGCTGTCATGTCACCCAAGTGTTGCGCCAGTCACACCATATGTCCAGGCTTATTTATTTATGTTATGGAACACCTTGTAAACACCACACTCTCAGCAACCCACTTATTAATTACCACGTGTTGACACCATTTCATCTTTTTTTTTTTTCTTTTCTAAAAAGTGTTTATTACTTGCACCGGTGTAGCACTTTGTCCCCTGAGCTGGAGAGGAAATTCAGCAGAGCTCCGATCTGGAAGCGAGGAATCTGGAAGTTTCTTCTTTGATGTCTCACATTACAGATTTGAAAGATGCTCACTTCGGGTTCCTTAAGAAACATAAGCACATTGTTTATTTTAGTTAAAAATGACTCAACGCATACATTTTAAGGGCTAACCAAAATGAATTATTCATTCTAATGAAAATGATAAATAACCCACACGTGTATAGCGCCTTTCATAGTGAGAGGACTCCAAATACACTACAGTGTATCATTCATCCACAGACACACACACACACGCTGATGGGGATGAGCCTCAGCTACCCTGGGCTGCACGGACTGAGGCTAGGCTTCCAAGCATAGGCACCATCAGTCCCTTCGATCACTACCAGCATGCAAAGTGGGTTGTCTTGCCCAAGGACACACCTGCAGAATTCGCTGTCAGGAGCCGGGATTGAACCTGCAACCTTCCGATTACTGGACAACCCGCTCTACCTCCTGAGCTACGTCTTCGCTGAGTAACACCCATACCGAATAGCAAACACACTCTTCTGACTATCAAACATGCATAAAATTAGATGTTGTTTGCTAACTAGTAGGTTAGGTAGAAGGTGCAGTGGCAAGAATTTGGCAATAACATATACAGGTGAGGTGATCCGATCTATTACGATACGATCAGGCGACATTTACATTGGCGTCTACGTTGATTAATAGTAACAAACTGGGAGCCTTTATCCTGGTTTACATGTACGTTAGACAGCTGAACTCTAATGAAGTCCATTCCACTCCAGTACAGGAGGTGGCGACATGCGCTCTTTTGTGTTGGCATTCTTCCAGCTAGCTTATAGCAACACAAATAGCAAGCAAACCCTGACTGGAGTTAAAACAGGACACACACAATGGCTGAAGTAATGAACAACAACAACAACAATGCTGCAGCACAGTTTATTTGGTACATGCTGTACTGTTTCATGGTGTTACACCTGTTATTTTGTGGCGATGACGTTAACAGAAGATTGCCTCTTCACTTTCGGAAGTTACCGGTATCAGGTTGACGAAGCCGTTTACATGCAGACGCGGTCAGTATCCTACTGCATTATCTGGGTGCTTCAGCACATTTAGAGCCAGTTTGCCTTCAGCAAGACTAACGCGTTTACATGCATTTTTTTAAAATGGTTTCAGTCTATTTAGGGCAACAGTTCATTTTTCGGAGTGTTATCGAGAGATCTCGTCGTTCTGTCAGAATGAAGGGGATAAAAGCTGCCAAGTAGCAGACAGAGTCCAATTGCACCACACTAGACTATACATAGACAGTCAATATTTCGTTACCAATTCTCAATGAAAATTGGATCAATTCAATATAATAACACAAGATATCGGGTTATTTCAATGTATCAATATTTTCTCATATCAAAACTAAGTGGTAGCAAATAAATGGCCTTTAGGTTTAGAGGAACTACATTATTTGTTTTTCTACAGAGGTCGGTCTGTTGGTTTGCTCCATACTGTCAAGTATTTTTAGGGTTAATGAGAAATGCTTCATTACATTAGTCTTTAATCGTAAATTATTATCAACAGTACAATTTTCACAACAGCTTCTATTTACACATCTGTTTCACAAATGATTTAAATGACTAATGATCTTGTAAAGCTGCTGATTAATGGATTGAACACTTGATGTATGTACCCAGCTCGTATCAATTGCTTTGATTCTTTGCTGTGGAAGGACAAACGCTTAACTATTCAGTTTGACAATTTGCCATGTGTCCAATCAACTGTGGCTTTGACCTCGCTCCAGCAGCTCTAGGTGGTCTTGTCTTTTCCTCATCTTTCTGTGTCTTTTTACCAGAGAGAAGCGTAATATTGTGCCATGCTTTTAATTGCAGAAATACATCCTTCCCCTCATTATGGGGAGCCGAGAGGACAAGAAGCATCTGCAGAGGATGGAAAGCAACATTGCAGCAATGAGTGGCACGCTGACACAGACAGGTGAAGATTAATATCTTCATCACTTTCTCCCTCCTTAACATTTTCCCTCATTTATCTGTCGCCAAAATCGGGGGGCCCCGCACGTTTTTAACAAATGACGCCGCTGTCATTTCGCTTTAATTTGAAATTGCTTGTTTACTGTCAGGCTCGGGCTCAATTAATTACGTTTCGCTGAAAAGCTCTTAACCTCGGAATATTAATGAGGAGTTGGGAAATGACAACTTTTCTCCCTTTCATCCCCCCTTCCATCCGTTTCCCCCCTGCACCAACCTCACCCCCCATCCGAACCTCCATCCCCATCATCATCAGCCACCCTCTCCCCTGTAGGTGGGCAGAAAGTTCATTTTAATTTTGTGTGTTAGCGAGTGTTTGTGTTTGCGTGCAGCACGCCGCTGTGTGGTGTCTGGGCTCAGCACTGGCCCTAGAGTGATTAAGTGCACAGTGACAGGTGCAGCTCCAGTGTTGGACAGGTGAAGAATTTCAACCTGGCTGTCAGATGTGGAGAGAGAGAGCGAGAGAAGCAGGGAGAGAGACACGTTTTTAGCTCTTTGTCAGTATAATTAAAAATCCAGGGAGGCGTAAATGAGAGAGGCACTCTGAGAAACTTAGGTCTTGTTAGCAGTAGTGTTAAACTGGAGTGTGTTTCCACCTGAAAGCTACTGATCCCGATTTTACATTTCAGTATTTTAACAGTAATCACATCATTTTTTTTCTTCAATTCAAATTTTTGCGATAGTCAAAGCCCTGAATTAGTGCTGTCTCGATACCATAGGAGGAAGCATCTCACTTTGTCTGATATTTAAAGCAGTTTTCCACCGAAATGGCTTGCATCATTGCACAAATTAAGTCTTTATCAGACATGCCACTTTTAGCGTCTCGCGGCAGCTAAGAAGCTGTGAAGGAGAACGTTAAATGTGAAAGAAAGAAGAAGCTTGCAAAAGATGGAGGAAACAAGTTCTGAGTAAATCCAGTGATGATTTCTGTTTGTGTTCAAGACAGGCACATAACACTTAGATTCTTGGGTGGAAATGTGTGTGCCAAATGTCATTTGAATTAGTGAGAGTCATCTGCGTGTGAGCTTTCTGCCCTTAGATATGTACGAATTTCCTGGAAAAACAGGGCAGGCGTGAGGCGTCCATAAAAACCTTTTCACCTCCTTTTTTGGATTTTCCTTTGAACGTCAAATGAAAGCAAACTCAGAATTTGCGTTTCCAGCTCCTGCTTGGGGCCCACAGATGAAAATATAGCTGTTATCATTTTATTCAGCTACACCCATTCTATTGTTCTCCGGCTGGGCGTGGTCGGTGGAAGGCAGGAATTGTGTGAGAATGGCGTGCAAGGTGTGCCACTTTAAATCTGATTAACAAATATCTGCTGTTTTATGGTCATTTTCTCCCAACTATGCAAACACATTTCCCCTGGCTATTTTACTGCCCATTCTTGCCCTACATATCACTTTTTGGAGATTTGCCAACTTACACACCCTGTTCAGTTTGTCTGGAAGGACAGGATTGCACCGATATGGTTGTTTTTACGTGAGATCTTCAATACGGAAAGACAAAAAAAAATACCACACTTTGGTCTTTTCTTGAGCCAGTGTGTAGAATTAATTTGCTATAACTGCAGTAGCCAATCTGCTATTGTAGTTAATGACTGTTGTAGTTAACAGTTGGGGAGAGGGGTTGCAATTACACTGAGAGTTTTCTCCCTCTTCACTGCACCGAGTAACAGCAACCGACTGCTTCGCCGCTGCCAATTGCTTGAACCCCCTTTTGTTAAAGTTCATGTATTTCTCTAGTGCCAGGCGCAATGAGGTGATGTATCCTTCTGAATGGGGACTACATTAGTCTTACTCACCAGGCCCAGCTAAGAGTAAGGGCCCTGACTCCCATTATGATTTGCCTACAACTTCACACAGACAATTAATGAATGAATCTTGGATCTCCTTCAGCGCTCCCAGGCTGTAATGGAATTGTGAGGCTGTTTGGGCACTCTTTGTTGGTGAGAGCCATATTGGTGACCAGCTGGCCATTAAAGACAGAGACAAACCCGGACATATGTAGTGTACATTATAGCGAGGTGTTTACTGAATAATTTACTGAATACACAGTGTGCACCCCCCTCACGGCAGCCGCGAGCCTCACACATCATCTTATCTCTGATTCTCTCTCTCGCTCTCTCTCTCACACACACACACACACACACACACACACACGCACGCGCGCGCACACACACACACACACACACAGTAGATTCTGATTCATGCCGGGCCAAAGTCTTTGACTGTATTAATATTCTTGGCTCCGTGTCTGTGATAACTTGGAAGAAGAAGTTGTGCATTTTTGTCGAGTGTCTGATCAGGACAAAGCAGCCAACTTTGTAGATTTGGGTTTCAAACTGTTTTGCTGAAAATATGGTGCCAGTGGTGTTTCACAGGCGCAGCATTATGGGCTGCCAGAGTCACCCACACTTCTGGAAAAGCTGTTCTGTGGTGAGGGGGATTCAGAGTCTAATAGGGCTGCTCGTGGTTTGGAGTGCACACCCTGTCACGGTAACACCTTTTTAAGCAGAGAGCCACTATTTCACATTTTATTGCCGTCGTCAGAAGGGCCAGTAGTGCTCTGGCTCAGAAACTGGGTAGAACTAGAGTTATTTGCACAGTGGTCTTTTGGTCCCAACTAACAGTTCTGTTCCAACTTGTAATCTGTTAGATTTTTCAAGCCTGAAAAGATCAAACGTCTCAGCTCCCCACCTATATTGATACAGCTCCACCCATTTAAACACAGGTGTCGCTACAAGATATTAGCGTCTTTGAAAGATCAAATACTTTTTATTCTGTGCTGGGGTTTTCAAAAGAAGTGCAGCAGCTCCCGAGCCGCTCTCTGTCTTTTGTCCTGGCTTCGGTTGATATGGGAGGAGGGTTCTTTACATCCAGTCCAGCCGGCTGCAGCTTAGGCTTTTAACCATTGGCCTGACAACCTCAGCAGTGGACCGCCACAATATCTGTTGATGTTAATCCTATTAGACTTGATTTAACACTTTACACGCCCATGATTTATATGAATGTTTATTGGTTTTCTGTAATATAATCAGCTCAGGGAAACTTAATGCATTGTTTGGTAATACATGCGTGACTGGAAGCAGGGGGCAAAAAAACTGTGCCTTGTGTTATTTGAAATCATACACCTTCGGCCAACACCAACACTTGAACTAATTCAATCTTCAAAGTCAATGGAAAAAGAACAATATTTATTAAGGTTAGGAGGGACATTTTGTCTGGCAGCCTCCTCCAAAATGAAAGCTTTGTTTTTTTCCTTTGTTGATCGTTTGAGGGTTTAAGATGCATTAGAAGGCAGTGTCTGGGTGGATAATAGAAGGTTAGAGACTGTTATTTAATTTAAGTTCAGACACTAGAGATTAATGCCTCCGTCCTATGTGAACCCCTCCCTTACCTGCCTCTACCCCCGCCGCCTCAGACCAAAACGATGCACCTAAACTTAGCAGGTATTAGCTTTGATTACAATTCTTAGAGGACGGCTTTGATCAATAGAGCAAGTTAAGCCTCGTCAGTTCTGTCATCATCTCTTGGAAGCAAATCAGCGTATCACTAAATAATTTTATCAAACGTTCTTCTTATGTACATATCTAATGCATTTTCTTGTTATTTTACAGTCAGCCAGCTCCAACAAACCCTCGCCTCTATCCAGGAGCTCCTGACGCAGCAACAGCAGAAAATCCAGGAGCTCTCTCAGAAACTGGCTGCAGCTGAGGTACAGTCACCATTTAACCTGCAGCTCACTTAACGGCTTCTTTTAAGTCACATGATTTTCCCAAATCCAACTTGCCGTTGCAGATATCTATCTATACAGCTCAGCTGAAAATAAAGTGTTGACATGAAGCAACTTCATGATGCTTTCTGCGGTTTCGACAGCACATTTGAGATTTATTTTAAAGGAAAGCTCGACAGGCTCTCGTTCTGAAACTTCCAAGGAGCTCAGTAAACATAAAGTTGTAGGTTAAAATCTGAGATTGATGAGGAGAGAGATGAGGCTTCCCCTGGCCTCTGTGTACTAAAAGATTTTATTCTGCCCAAGTCATAACTACCCAAGACAGACAGCATTATTATACTGTATATCACCAGAATACAAGCTACAAAAAAAGGTGGATCTCATCATAGAACCATAATCTTTAACCATACCACCTTGATTTTTATAGACTGTGCCCATAATCTGCTCAGAATTGTAAGTGTTTTGGTGAATCCTGCTGAGTGATTGTTTTAAAAACTTGTGAGGGGATGAAATGTTGCTTGTTTTTTATAACCCTGCTCATAAATCGCTTTATGATCACTGGGCTCTAAAAATTGCCTTGAAAGAGACAATCTTAGACAATGTTTTATGTCCACAGCTTGTTAAGCACGTGGGTGCATAACCGTAGCATCTGGATGTCACAGGAAAACATATGTGGACACATCTGCTTCGGCACAGACGTGGAGAAAAAGTTCTAATCTCTTCCCAGCAAGGAGTTTGTGAAAGAAAAAGAAAAAAAGACATATAGCTGATAGGGATGTGTATTGGTGAAATTCTGGCGATACAATACGTATTACGATACAGGGGAGACGATACAATATATCACGATATATTGCGATACATTCAGTCAGACGATATTGGCGATTTTTTAGACTAAATTTATTATAGGAAAATTCAATAAACAGTCCATACTGATACTTGACATGTTTAACCATAACAGAGGGATTTACATTTCAATGGTGGAAACAAAACCCATTACACACTGCTGCTAACTAGTGTTCTGCGTTTGAATTGCACCACAAGAAAAGAAAATACACAAATGTTTCCATGTAAATTCTTCCAAAAATTAGATACGCGACTTTTGAATATTGATACGTTTTTGCAAGAAAAAATATCACGATATATTGAGATATCGATATTTTTGATACACTGCTTTTGAATATCGATATTATATCGCTGGGTAAAATATCACGATATATTGCCATAATCGACATTTTCTTACATCCCTAATAGCTGATTTTGTCAGTGTTTTTTTGTTTTTCTTTCTTTCTTTCTTTCTTTCTCTGTGTTGTGGAAAACAGTGAGGGCTAAGTCAGCATGTGTGAGTTTGTGGATGCGGTGATCTGATTTGACCCGTGCTGGTCTGAAACCCAACTACCGACGGCAGTTCTTCCGTCAGACACAAGGTCCAATTAGAACAATGAGTTTTCTTCGGCACAAAGGGACAATGGATGTTATTCCTTTTCATTTGTCATCTCTAAATCACAGATTGGATTAAAGAGTCTACTTCATTTGCTATGAGTGCCTTGTTGGACAGCAGTAGTGTATAAAACGTATATTTCCCATCAAAACACCCATTAAACAAATCATAAACCCTGCTTTATAGTTCTGGTGTTGATGTTAAATTTTCCTTGTGAGTCGGCACGAGGCCTTCTGTTGTCTCAGGCCATGAGGGAAATGGGGAAATTGTTTTCAGGTCCTGGATGTTTGATGAGAAACACATGTTGGAGCCGGGGAGCTACTTATCATTCACCGTTTGTGGCTTTCAGGGTTTGCTGCGCTACGCCGCTTAAAGCGCGCCACGCTTAGCAATTATACCTCTCAACACGGAAATGTGCCTTTAACCCAAAACACATGGAGACCTCTGTTTCCTCAGCTGCTAAGTAAACATTTCTCATAGTTTGAAACCGCTCAATTGCGGTGTGGGCCCGCTGTCCCTAAAGTGGGGACCTCATTATGGAAGTGAGTTTAAGCAGACTGACTCGTGTCCACAGAACGCCGGCTGATGCAGCATCTTTCCAGATTTAACTGTTTTCTTACTCGTGTTTCTGTGAGAACACGCTGCCGTGTGCCACCGCCGGCGTTGAGGCTAAACGTCGCCCCAGAAAGATTCCTCCCTGATGTTAAACAGCCAACTCTTTTTCTTCCCCATTATCATTACAAATCTGCCTGTTAACTGTGTTTGCCCTGCTGTCTCAACTTACTGATCGTTCTCTTTATTAGTGGATACTACATAGAAGATTAGAAAACGCCTCCTTGCTTACAGAAGATAAAGTGCCAGTGAGAAAGAGCATAAATAGAGCTAAATCAATTGCACTGTACCAGCGTTTCGACTCAAAAACACTCCTCTGGGGACTTCTATAGGAAACTAATTCCATCATAAATATACGTGTTACACAAAAACAGACTGTCTGCCAGCGGACTAACTGTGAATTAATTTGCCTTCAGACGCTGTTAAACAAGGCTTGTTAAAGATCTTATCTTGCTGCTAATGGTCCAAAGGCATTTATCTTCATTTAGCCAGATGTGCTGCCATCCTTCATTGTAGTTGTTGCTTTTTTAAGTCCTTGTAAGATATAGCTTTTTAAAAAATTCAACACTTGGAGCATAAATTAAGTTCCCACCTGAGACGTGATAGTTAAAAGGCTTTTTAAACACATTAGAGGAAATCTTAGTGTGAACAGTAAAAAGAACCCCACACACAGCCAGCTGGGGTTGATTGAATGGGTTGGACTTCCTTCATAGGCGGGGTTATTTTTGTTTTTGGGTGTTTGGCTCATTTGTTTAGTGGCTTTTTTCCATTCATGCATGGTACTTTTTAAAATGGGAAGTTTCAAGTGCAGGAAATTCTCATTTCTGGTTAAGCATCGGTGAAACCTAACAGCCCTGCACCTGTATGCCAAAAAGGGGCGGCATAAGGCCAACGTCAGTGATGCTCGTTTAACTCATTCACTGCCAGCCGTTTCCTGATTGCTAACTGCCTTCACTGCCAGCGTTTCTCACCGTTTTTACAGTTTTTTTAAGAGTCACAGAACATTGCGCGCTAGGATGATGTCAACGCCAAAAGAACCAAAACAAAGAGGAGACTCACCTCTTACATCAGGAAGAATCCGTGTGTTTCGAGCGTTATCCGTTCTTTCATAATCCGTTGTTGAATTGTGATCGGCAGACACTTTTCCGGTTCGCGCCTCACTTTTTTTTTACAGGAGCGGCCCAAAAATGATCTCCTAACACATGGATGGTCTCATGGATGTATTTTTGGGGGGGGACAGGGGGGACATGTCCCCCCCCACTTTTTCCAAAGTCAAGTTTTGACCCCTGCACTTTTTACCATCCAAAAACAATATTACGCTATATTAAATTGACACTGGTTGAGCTCTAGGACCAAGCGGAAAGCAACCGTTTGTGTTGAAGCCTGTTTCCCCTTGGAACATATTGTAAAGATACCCCCCCCCCCCCCCCCGTGTCCCCCCTGTGTCCCCCCCCACTTCTAAAGTGAAAATTACGTCCTTGGATGGTCTGCTTCCTGATCGTGTGACGTATGCGGATGATGATCGGCTTCAGGGCTGAGATGTTTGTTCTCTCAGCGCGAGGGCTCGTTCTGATGCTCAAACAGTAAAAAAAAAATGCAAATGACGACTTTAGTCGTCATTGGCAGTGAATGAGTTAAATCTAAATGGATTGTTGGAGCTACAAGGAAAAAGACAGAGTTTAGAGATTAAGTGTTTGTATCCAAGAGCAACAGTTGCGTGCAAACATTTGGATAGGTGAAAATAATGCAACGCATGCAGGACATGTCATTTGTCCCCAGGATGCTTAAATATTTACATTCAACCAAATTCAGGCCTTTTCCTGAGAACTGGTGTGTAAAAAATAAACAGAAAGTCAAATGTTTTGATGCACAAAAACATCCAGTTTCACAGTTTTTAAAAGTGTGATTTGTTTAAATTTCCAAAAAGCTGTAAATTCAAGTTAAATGTAGAAACTGGCTTTAAATGAGGTTGAAAACAAAACACAAATATGAATCTTTGTGCATCAGCTAAATAACTGCAGAGGTGAAATATTCTGATCAGTGCTTGTTAAAGGATCACATCCGACACACTCGTGTGGTCTATTGGATATGTGTCAACACTTCAGGTTGGGCTTTTAAAGTCAGCATTCTTCAATTTTCTTCAGTCACCGATACCCCCGACACTCAGCCTTCACCCGAGCACCTCGTGCACTTAACACATGATCCTCGCACAGTGTGTGTACACACACCGACATAATGTATCTCAGAGCTGAAATTCAGTCCTGGTCCAACATTTAATTAGGTTTCTTCAGACTTAATAAGACATATGTCAGAGTTAGTGTTGTGTGACAAGCCTTGATGTGAGATATTATATGGTGCTGCTCTGTAGATAATGCATATTATGATTGTAGCTAGTGGTTAGCCTGTCTACTCGAAAGGCTATATTAGGTGACGTGAATGTAAAGCAATGCTGAATCTTACATTATTTTGAGAAATTTGCTTTTCCTTGAGGAACATTGTTTTTTGGAAAATATTTTACCGTTCAGAGTTTAAAGCAATTAATTTTTCTAGGGAAAATATGAGAGAAGCAGAATTGAGCCTTATTATATGAGTGCCTTGGGGAGACGAGGGATTAAGATGGTTCTAATGAGGTGACGGCTGTAATAAGAGTGTCTTTAGCAGGCCTCCAATGCACCACCTCCAAAACACGACTCCTTATCAGGGAGGTTTAGGAGCCGATAAGAGCCAAAAAAGAGACTCCTTCCCATCGTCTTCTTTCACTTCTCCTCCTCTGCTTCCCTCCATTCACTGTAAATGAGTCTGATCCCTTTCAGATGTGATTCAATTAATTTCTCTTAGATTTAATTACAAGCGAAAGAGTCCAAGTTATCCCTCTCCCCTCGATAGGGGGTCCACGCTTCCTAACAAGCTTCCTCTGGTGAGTCAGGAGAGTCTTAATTACAGCTTTTACTTTTCTTTTATCCCACTTTTTCCCTTGTCTGCTTCTTCTAATCCCTTCTGGTCTCGTCGGCGTATCGTCTAGCTCTCGCACGTGTTTGTGCTTTTTGTTTAGCAGTAGGCCAAGAATGGAAAGCTACGACTTTACACTTTTCTAATCATGGCCAGGTAATGCCTTCTTGTGCTGAGTAGCTTATTCATATATTGAGGGTGTATATTTGGATCTATGCTGGTGAAGGTTCTCCGTCATCCAGGTCATGGTAATCCAAAGGAGTTTGAATAAAGGCAACTGGGCTTCTTAGGTTTCTTGAAGATGTTTCACTTCTCATCTGAGGAGCTTTGTCATTTCTTGTTGGGATATGGAAGAGAGGAGTAAACAAATCTATGTCAAACGGGAAAGACTGACATTAAACAGAGGAGAGCTCAGGTTTCACTGTTCCAGCACCGGCAATGCAGCTTTGCACTTCATTCCACAACAGTTTCAATCTACTGTAGGTCACACCGTGCTGCATCTAATCAAAACAACCATCCCCACACAATAGAGCCTAAGGACTCTAATGACTCCTCTGGGGGTAGGGAGCAGGGGTATTTAGGGGTAGTTTCAGCTATAGTTTATAATCCTGACTCGCCAATATTCCGGTCAGAATTGATCTCGGATGAGAAGCTGCACGTCTTCAAGAAACCAAAGAAATCCAGTTGTCTTCATTCAAACCCCATTAGTTTTTTTATACAGGTCCTTCTAAAAAAATTAACATATTGTGATAAAGTTCATTACTGTCTGTAATGGACTGATAAACATTAGACTTTTATATATTTCAGATTCATTACACACATCTGAAGTAGTTCAAGCCTTTTATTGTTTCTAATATTGATGATTTTGGCATACAGCTCATGAAAACCCAAAATTCCTATCTCAAAAAAAATAGCATATTTCATCCGACCAATAAAAGAAAAGTGTTTTTAATACAAAAAAAGTCAACCTTCAAATAATTATGTTTAGTTATGCACTCAATACTTGTTCGGGAATCCTTTTGCAGAAATGACTGCTTCAATGCGGCGTGGCATGGAGGCAATCAGCCTGTGGCACTGCTGAGGTGTTATGGAGGCCCAGGATGCTTCGATAGCGGCCTTAAGCTCATCTGGAGTGTTGGGTCTTGCGTCTCTCAACTTTCTCTTCACAATATCCCACAAATTCTCTATGGGTTTCAGGTCAGGAGAGTTGGCAGGCCAATTCAGCACAGCAATACCATGGTCAGTAAACCATTTACCAGTGGTTTTGGCACTGTGAGCAGGTGCCAGGTCGTGCTGAAAAAGAAAATCTTCATCTCCATAAAGCTTTTCAGCAGATGGAAGCATGAAGTGCTCCAAAATCTCCTGATAGCTAGCTGCATTGACCCTGCCCTTGATAAAACACAGTGGACCAACACCAGCAGCTGACATGGCACCCCAGACCATCACTGACTGTGGGTACTTCACACTGGACTTCAGGCATTTTGGCATTTCCCTCTGCCCAGTCTTCCTCCAGACTCTGGCACCTTGATTTCTAAATGACATGCAAAATTTGCTTTCATCCAAAAAAGAAGTACTTTGGACCACTGAGCAACAGTCCAGTGCTGCTTCTCTGTAGCCCAGGTCAGGCACTTCTGCCACTGTTTCTGGTCCAAAAGTGGCTTGACCTGGGGAATGTGGCACCTGTAGCCCATTTCCTGCACACGCCTGCACACAGTGGCTCTGGATGTTTCTACTCCAGACTCAGTCCACTGCTTCCGCAGGTCCCCCAAGGTCTGAAATCGGTCCTTCTCCACAATCTTCCTCAGGGTCCGGTCACCTCTTCTCGTTGTGCAGCGTTTTCTGCCACACTTTTTCCTTCCCACAGACTTCCCACTGAGGTGCCTTGATACAGCACTCTGGGAACAGCCTATTCGTTCAGAAATGTCTTTCTGTGTCTTACCCTCTTGCTTGAGGGTGTCAATGATGGCCTTCTGGACAGCAGTCAGGTTGGCAGTCTTACCCATGATTGCAAATTTGAGTAATGATGCAGGCTGGGAGTTTTTAAAAACCTCAGGAGTCTTTTACAGGTGTTTAGAGTGAATTAGTTGATTCAGATGATTAGGTTAATAGCTCGTTTAGAGAACCTTTTCATGATATGCTAATTAGTTCAGATAGGAATTTTGGGTTTTTATGAGCTGTATGCCAAAATCATCAATATTAGAAACAATAAAAGGCTTGAACTACTTCAGTTGTGTGTAATGAATCTTATATATATGAAAGTCTAATGTTTATCAGTACATTACAGACAATTATGAACTTTATCATAATATGCTAATTATTTGAGAAGGACCTGTATGTATACCTGTATGTATATATGTGTGTGTGTGTGTGTGTGTGTGTGTGTGTGTGTGTGTGTGTGTGTGTGTGTGTGTGTGTGTGTTTTCTTGAAAGCTTTTCTTAAGTACTGAGTACACTATAAAAAATACTCTCTTTTCTGTTGCATCCATGTTTTTTACCTGAAACATTTAATCGAGTTGTGTGCAAACCTTTTTTATTTAGTTGCCATAGAGATCATTTAGCAGATTTTCTAGAAGCCAAAGACAAAGTTTATAATTACTTTATGCTTGTGATACATTTTCACTTCTGTTTTGGCCAAAACTTTTTGTCTTTGTGACAGGTGCAAGCCTTGCCGTCCTCCAAAAAAGAGTCTCCAGATTTCGATTTTCGGCTGTAATTTGCCATTCAAATGCCTGTCCATTATACCCTTTAGCATTTGTTACCACACTGGTGCATTTGTCTGTGTGATAACACAAGCCTGTGATAAAAGAGAAAAAGAACAAAACACTGCTGAGCTTTGGTCTGCCTACACGAATGTGCCCATTGTTCAAGATTGCCATTATCCAAAACACCACACACAGACCTAATCTTTCTGAGGTAGTATGGAAAATTATGTAAAAACAGGCCGATTCACACTGGCCCAACTTCCTGACACCAGGAACACGACTTCAACGAGATTGTTTGCTCTCCTTTCTGTTGTCACCCCCCAGTAGGCAGTTGCAAGGTTGTTATGGTGACTGATGACTCAACAACACAAAAACATGCGGCTTTTAGCATTTGCATTTTCCATATTTGTTTACATACCCTTTCCTTTCATTAAGTAAGCTTTTAAAATTTCATACAGTTGCTGAATTGTTGGTGACTTTGTGGTGTGACCCTGCAACAGTGCAAGTGTGTGTTTTACTTTGAGACAACCGTGTGTTTTTTTTTTTACAGACGTCGTCCTCGACCAGCCACTTCCTAGACAGCCAAACAGTTGGAGAGCTGAAGGCTGAGATTGCCTCTTTGAAGGGCTTACTGCTCAGCAGGTAACAAAGTTATCCAGACCTCTGTCACATGAAACAGTCCAGGTGTGTGTGTGTGTGTGTGTGTGTGTGTGTGTGTGTGTGTGTGTGTGTGTGTGTGTGTGTGTGTGTGTGTGTGTGTGTGTGTGTGTGTGTGTGTGTGTGTGTGTGTGTGTGTGTGTGTGTGTGTGTGTGCGTGCGTGCGTGTGTGTGTGTGTTGAAAAGCTTAGCGCAGGTTGTGTTTAACCATGTTTGACTCTTGTAATGGGCTGCAGTCAGCTAGTACTTAAAGGTTGTACAAATACAACCTAAAACATCATCAGACTTCAGTTTAATAAGTGAGACAAAATCAAATACAAAACTTGGATCGTCCATCATGATTCTGTTAGATTTTTCCAAGGACTTTGACTTGGCCGTTCTGAAACATCAGTAACTTGGTTTTTCTTTTATCATTTATTGAAAGGCTGCTGGGATGAAGAAAGTAGTCATCTAGCTGTCTGAAAGCCACCACTATCAAAAGTTAGTGAAAATGCACTCGCATTTGCTTCCCTTGTACTTTTACCTTCTTGCTATTAGGGGATCTCCCAGTTTAGAACAAAAGGCTTAATCATTTTGCCCCTCAGAAATGTAATATTAAACATTTTCCTCACTCTTTAAATGGTTAGTTTTCATGTTTTTTTATTTGTGCATTTTCTTCAAACTAAAAAAAACATTAAAGATCTAGATTTAGATGGAATAGTTTTATTTATTTTTGTTATTGTTTTATTTTCTCCAATAATTTTGTTTCATTTTGTTGAGTCAAAATATAATTTCGATATAATAATGACATGGGAAAGGATATGACATAAGCATGTCTTTACACTGAACTTTAAAGCTAATGATTAACCTCTAAAGCTACTTTGGATCTCTGTTTGAGGATCACTTGTTCCTGTTTTCATTAAATGATGAAGTTCAGGTTGTGAGTTTATCTGTAAATAGTTTAGGTTTTCAGATAAAAGATAATTTTGTTTAAAGTTTTCAGCACAAACACAACAAAATCCCCAAATTCACTTTAGAAGACCTTTTTCCTGTTTATTTAAGGTAAGAAACAGCTGACCATGTGCCAAAACTAAGATATACCTCCTCGACATGAAGATGTTATTAGATCTGACTAGGGATGGGTACCTTTGACATTTGAATTGATCTAATTCCCGGTACCTACGAATCGATACCGGTACTTAACGGTACCAATTTTCGATACTTTTGAGTGTTTAATATTTTTAATTCTCTTTTATAATTAAATATATATTTTTCTCAATATATAACCATATTTGATAAATATCACGATAAATAACATACAACTGTTTGTATTTTAACATCGTCCTTGTAGTTTTATAAGCTGATAATTAAACTGAAGCAAACATCTTTACTGTGAACTAAATTTACTGCGTATCTTCATTCCTTTTACCGTCCTTTTTCAATTGATTTTTCCTACTGGGAAGTTAGAATTTCCGAGGAGAAAGCGAACGCACCATTAGATGATAACAATGGTGGCAATGGAAGCTAACATATCAAGCTAACGTTATCTTAAACAGTTTATTTAACTGCTGGAGCAGATTTAAATGATGATGTCTCACACTTAAATCGTTGTCACTGGTTTCATCTTCACCCAATCACCCGTCGCATTTAGTAAAGTGAAGCCAAACTTTAGAGCGCGTTCATGTTCTTCTAGTCGGAATTTCGGAGTTCCGAGGAGAAAGCGAACGCACCATTAGTGAAACGGAAGCTAACAAATCAAGCTAACGTTATCTTAAACATGTTTTTACCTACCAGAGCAGATTAAGATGAGGATGTCTCGCTTAGATCGTTGTCGCTGGTTTCATCATCACCCATTTACCCATCACATTTAGTGAAGTGGACCCAAGCTTTAGCGTTCGTTCTTTCTACATGCTGATCTGTTTACAAGTGGCTCGCAGCGACCGATAACATAACGCTCTTGCGCATGCGCAGCTGTCTAGGCAAGTTCTTGTTGTGAAGGACGGGTACCGAAACGAGGCACCGTTTCAAATGAAGTGATGCAGTGCTCGGTCAGTACTGTGGAATTCAGTCGGTACCTTAAAAATTACCGAATTCGGTACCCACCCCTAGATCTGACCTTGCACTATTTTAAAGGTGTGGTCCATTATGATTATTTCTGATCTTAATCAGTCACTCAGATTTTCATGCAGGCTGAAGATGAAAATAGTCTCCTACACCTATCTACTGCATTAGCTTCTGACAGAAAGTAGACGATGAAAATCTAGGATTAGAAAAGCCTGACAGATCTACGTCACACACTCACCATTCATGGACTCACCTATCTTGATTTGCGACAGGGAAGGCTGTTGTTTTAGCGTCCAGCGAATATCTCAACTAGTTAAAGCAAACTGTTAGCATTAGCCACTTCACCACACAGCAAAAGCTTCTCCAGCTTTTTGCTATTATTGGAGATAAAACACCCATGTCATGGATCAAATGGTGTCAGCGGTAGAGTCGCATTGTTGTTAGCCAATCCGAGGCGAGATGTCCAAATATCAGAAATAAGAGTCGAAAACCTGCCGTCCGAAGCTCAGCTGTGATGTGGATCGCCGGTTGTTCCTAGAAATGGTGCGCCAGTATATATTCCCCACCCCCACTACGATTTACAAGGCATTAATACCTATTAGAGACCACTGCAAATGTACTGATTAAATTAGTGTTCCATACCTTTAACAGCCAAACATTTCAACGAAATTCAGATATTGGTCATAATGAACACAAAGTTGCTTATAAATGAATAGAAAAGCAGGGTGTGTTTAACAGAGGAGTTTGTATGTGGACTAGCATTGAGTTTAAGTTTCATAGAAAATGTTCTATAATAAAACTCAAATGGACACCGAAATGAGTTTTCTCCAAAGAATGGCTGGGCTCTCCCTTAGAGATAGGGTGAGAAGCTCAGTCATCCGGGAGGGGCTAGGCCGGGGGTCGGCAACCCGCGGCTCTGGAGCCGCATGCGGCTCTTCCATCCATCTGATGCGGCTCTCTGTGCTTGTAAAATAATGAATGGATATTTAAATAAAATGCTTTATATTTTACTGCATTAATTTTACATCTGTATGACAATTCTAAATATAAATATTGTCTGCGTAAACCTGAACAGTTCCAACCCGGTCTTACTGTGAGACCGGGTTGACGGGTCACGCTTGTGCGTAATCATATCAGCGCTTTCTGAGCTGAAGAGGATGTGAGATTCTGGGATTCTCCTCAGACAGGCTCCTGGATGTCACCACATTGGAGACAGGAACAAGCACTATTCAGCCAAAGTTTCATAATCAGGGAACATTTTCTAAGTGACAAGTCTCGCTTCAGTCGGAGGAATCTTCCTGCATGCGCCCTGGTTCTGTGACGCACTCCAAGCCCCTCTCCACATCTTCAGCTCGCTGTGGACCTTATGTAGCAGTGTCCAGCTCAGATGTTCAGATGGGAATCTCTTCTTGAGTGATTTAGCTACATCTGCGATGTGCGTAACGAATAAAATGTCAGTTCGTCTGCATGTGTCGGGGTAATTCTTTCTATTCTTTCTCCGTCAAAATAAACGGTCAAATACGGGAACTATCTGGTCAACGCAAGCCCTGCTTTTAACTGTTCTCTTTTCTTGTAAAAATTGTTACAAAGAGATATAATTGAACTTCATTAACACCAGAGCCAGGCGCACTGCGCCGTTATCTCCGTCGCTGTAAATGAGAGAAAAACAAATTGATCGGATCATTTTCTGACCTTCCCCACTTACAAAGTTTAATTACAACAATCAAACGTGACAGAGCCTGGATTTGTATTCTGAACAGTCTAAACATGTTTTAAAAAGAAACGTATGACAAAAGGGGCACCTGCTCAGTAAAACCACCAACAGGGTGAAAAATATCAAAATATTGTAGGCAGAGACGGGCTACAACTTCTGGATCCACATTATATAAATCGTTTTATTGATTATCATCTTATGAAAGATAACTTTGACGTACATGAGTGACCGGTACTGGCTGCTGTCACCTGTTGTGATTGGTTAAAGCAGCTCTCTGCTGTCTGAGGGTAGGCCCCGCCCACAACGCCGCGGCTGCTGTGGCTCCCAGTGTTTTCTGTACTGTGGGAAATGGGTAATAATGGCTCTATGATGGGAACAGGTTGCCGACCCCTGGGCTAGGAGTAGATTTGCTGCTCCTCCACGTCAAGAGGAGCCAGTTGAGGTGGCTCGGGCATCAGGTCAGGATGCCTCCTGGACGCCTCCCTGCCTGGTGAGGTATTCCGGGCACGTCCAACCGGGAGGAGGCCTAACTGGAGACCCAGGACACGTTGAAGGGACTATGTCTCTCACATGGCCAGGGAACGCCTTGAGATTACCCCGGAAGAGCTAGCCCAAGTAGCTGGGGAGAGGGAAGTCTGGGCCTCTCGACTTAGGCTACTGCCCCTGCAAACCAACTCCGGATAAGCGGATGAAAATGGATGGAATAAAACTCACATCATGCATGTGTGTATTTTCCCTTTATTTAACCAGGTCAAATCTAATTGAGATATCAGATCTCATGTGCAAGAAATGACCTGCTCCAGGGTGGCAGCACGAGAATAAAGTGAAATGCACAAAATCAATGTTTAAACATTACAACAACAACAACAACAACAACACAATGACAAACAAAGAAAACAACAGTTAAAAGTCTTTATCAGTGTGGAAAGCAAGTTAGACAGGACTGCACAGCTATAGAAGTTTAGTTTGAACTTGTAAAACAAAGGTCACGGTGTCGCGTTTCTTTTGTAAACTGCACACATAATTGCATCATTTACTTTAACTTATAAACAATTGATGCAGTTAGCGTACTGAAGCCACATTTAATACACACACTAAAACAAGTTAACCTGCTCTTACAATCTTACTAAAACCATGGCTTTACTTTTGTGCCACTGTTGTGATGAGGTCTTGCTATATGCTCCAAGCCGCTCCCTTGTTCCTACTCAATCTAATCAGGCCCAGCCCGGCTCAGTCAGGCCGATTAGCATTCATGATTATGTATCCGTGTCTATAATGAGGCCTGAAGAAAGAGTGTACATCAGAAAAACACCAAGGACATAAATTGCCTCAGAACTGTCTAGTTGAGCTTGTTTTGCTCCCCCTCACACATCCTAATCAGTAATAATCCTTTTGTCATTTGCTTTCTTAACTTCATCTCGTCTCTCACAATGAGTTTCCTGGCATTGGCTCGAATCATCAAGTAAAAGCTCTGTCTCACCATCTGTCCCAAAAACTTGTCTTCCTGCTCATCTGATCCGAATAGTTATTTTTTTTAACCACCAGGAAGTGCAGAAACCATCCACCGTTGTCTTTTTGATCTTAAAAAGCAGCATTCTTTGTAATTAAAAATAAAAAATCTTAGAGCATGTGTGCCAGGTGTGATGAACATCTGGCTGTTCAGGGGTTTAAAGAAACCCTCTGCTGTAATTATAGAAGGTACATCAGGTGCTTAGTTTGCTGCTGCATGTGCAATGCAAATGTGTAGTTAAAGAGTTTGTTGTTAACAAACATGATCGAGGCCTTTTGGTTGGAGAATTTGCTATGGTCTGAATAATAGTCCAGAACACCAATGATGGTTGGAAGGTCTTGACAGGACACAGAAAACCTGTGTGGTGAATACCACAGGTGTAGACCAGCTCAGTGACTTAGTGGTATGGGTGTCCGCCCTGAGACTGGGAGATCAAATCCACGGTTGGGTCATACCAAAGACTTTAAAAATGGGGCCAATACCTCCCCACTTGACATTCGGCTTTAAGGGGTTTGATTTGGGGGTTTGACCACCAAATGGTTTCAGAACGCGACCGTGTCTGCAGCTCACCGCTCCCCCAGGGGATGGGTCACATGTGAAGAACAAATTTCACACACCAGTGTGACAATTAATGGGACTTTTACTTTACTTTTAACGTTAGTGCTTTAATGGTTGAGAAAGTGTTCTAAAGTCGCGTTAATCCAGCCACGTTCAAATAGGTCAAGAAGAGGGTAGCCTTAAGAGTGGCTAAAGCCTGATTTATACTTCTTCGTCTGCGTCGGTGCGGAGATACGCAATGCCATTATGCATCAGTGCAAAGGCTCTCCGACAGAGGGTGACGGAGACATGCCCAAATGTTTAAATATCCATAGAAAGTGATTTGGACCACAAGCTCGTGATTTATCGGGATGCCGCTTCCTTTAAATTCGTCAACAACACCGCCATTGCCCCGTCAAAAAGTACAAAGATATTTAGCGGCACACGTGGAACAGATTGAAGAAAGCCTTATGGGGAAAAAGTCTGAAAATATGAGCCTTTATTCACCCGTGACTGAATGAGTTCAAAAATACGGAGCAAACATTTTATTCATGGAGGGGAATGACACAAATGGGTTTAGAGCATGGGTTAGAGGTGGTGACCGCATGAAGAGGGGGAAGAGAAGAAAGGACAAATTTGTCTGTGTTATGAAGTCTTTGAAAAATATAAACACATTAGTAAGTAAATGCACTATCGTGGAACGATGCATAAGTGTAATGGTGGCATGACACCACAGAAAAGTGCCACGCCCTTTGTTGTCCTGGCGGGAATTGCTTTGCAAATCCGAGAGCAAAACGTCTCTGTCCATGCATGTGCATCTCTACCTTGCAGAGCTGATGGAGGTAGAAATCAGGCTGAAGGAAGGTTTCCCCAGTTTCGGGTCAGGAACTTTGCAGAAACAGTAACAAAGTGTTGATCAGATCTACTTTTTGCCACCCCACAGGAAACAGTTCCCGTCTACCCCTGCCATTCCTAAAATCCCATCGTGGCAGATTCCTATGAAGCCACCTTCAGCATCGGGATCGGCCTCCGTTAACCACACCAACAGCAGCAGCGACATCTCCCCTGTCAGCAACGAGTCCTCCAACTCCTCCCCTATTAAAGATGGACACCACAGCCCCCAGGATGCACTGGGAGGATCAGATGGAGCTGTTGTTCTCAACGGAGATATATGCGCTGTGGGCCGGAGCGCCTCGCCGCCTCTGGACCAGGTCCGCATGGAGGTTCAGGGGGAAGAGGAAAAAAAGGAGGACGACGAGGATGATGTCAGCCACGTAGAGGAGCTTCTAAGCATGCAGGAAGAAGATCGACGAGGTGGGGATGGACAGATTAATGAGCAGGTAGACAAACTAAGGCGACCCGAGGGTGCCAGCAACGACAGCGAGGTTGATTAGAAGTCAGAAGAAAACACAAAAACACCTCCCATCTCTGCTCAGACACCTTTTATTCTTTAAATTGTTCCTGTTTTCCTTTCCTTCTGTAACCTTTTTTTATGTTGAGCAAACCGAGGAGTGGGAGTGGCTGCAGGAAGATTCACAACTGATGGATATTAGAGTGTTTAGTGACACATGGCTTAGCACAGTTTCCTTTTGATCATCCGAACATAACTGGCTGCTAAGCCAAGTCCCATGAAGTGACATCTGAGTGAAGGGAAATGACGAGCGATAGTCAAATCACACAGACTGTGTGTGCAACACTAACCACGTAAGACCTACTGCTTCTAATTTTCATGATTCGATCAGATAATTCACAGCTTTGCCTTGGCGTCCTTGTAATCGTACGGAGGTGCTTATTCAGAGCAGACTTGGAGCGGTGTGGGATACGCCCGCTGTAGAATGCTGCTGTAGGGCAGGAATCATATGCTACTTTAGTCTGCCAGCTTCCAGTGAAGCATTTGCAGAGTTTGTCTCCCTGTTGACGGCAATAGGACAGGACAAGCTCTTCCAGGGCCGGAGCTTTTAGCCTCTTTTATGTGTCCTTTCGCATTGGTGTCAGTCTGTCAATAATTCACAAGGCCAGCAGGGTGGCATTTGGGTGAAATAAAAGCCCTGAAATTTGAGATTAGAATGTGATGACGGGCTTTGTTCCATGCTGGTGTCAGAGTGCTCATATGCTCAAAGGAGGGGAAGATAAATGCCCCCTATCCTCCCCCCCCCCCCCCCCCCCCCCCCACCAAGGGCTGAATTTTGTGTCTTTGCGAGTGCATTTGTGCGTGGCAAGCGAGGAAGCCCAGACAGTCTGCTGAGCTATATATGTGTCTCCAGCAGGGCAGCTGATTTGGTTTGTGAAGTATGTTAATAATCAAATGATCAACAAATAACAAATGTATTAGTTCATGCAGCTTGAAATGTCAAGGAGGCTAAAAGCGGAAATCTAATACAGAAAGCCCAGTTGCATCGTATTATTTTCTGTGACGAACCCTCCGGTCCAAATTACGTAGGGCCTCCCACGGTGAGTAATCTTTACAGAAAACGGCAACAATATTTTGTAATTAATCTGCAGCAAGACACAAGCGCTGCCACAGATGGAAGTTGCAGAACTTGTATTACTTTTTTTTTTCTCAGTGTGGAGGTGGATGGGGAGGCAACACAAAAAAAATTGCCCCATGATTGAAAAGGAAAGTTATAAATGAATACTTGACTTATTGAATTACTCACCGTGTCTCAAGCTAACAAGAAGAGTTCATGACTGAGAAGAAGGGGTATCGGCTCTTGAGTTATTTCTGTCTCCATTACTTGGTCTTCTCATGAGCACAGAGATGGAGAAAGGACTCAAAGCATCGTTTTTTGTAATGAGATTAAGTACCGACCGTTCAGTGCACTGTAAAACCAAATTAATCGAAATGTTTCGTGCATTTTCAAAAAAAAATTTGTGAATAAACTTTGCTTGTAAAATAAGTTTTAAATGCTTTATAACATCTGAGAACAGTTGTAAAATTTGAGCCATAACTGTAATAAATGTTTATTTTCCTTTAGAATAATCATTTATAGTTATTTTAAACCAACTTATCATATAAAGTCAAATCTGCTGTATGTTAAGAACCCAGTCATGGTGTGCTGTTTCTGTTAAGAATGTCAAATTGTTAATAAACAAAACATGTACAAAACTACTCTTAAATCATTTGTGAATCTTTTTTGAAATGGTCATATTAATAAGAGATGCACCAATAAACTGGCCAAAATGTAGCATGTTCTTTGGTCGGTTGATCTGAAATTTTTAAATCTGATTTTATTAAAGTTTTGCAAGCATAAAAAAAATTAAATATAAATGTCTTTTTTTTTAGAAATAACAAATCTCATATTTTCTTTAGTTCCAGTATACAGTGGGGCAAAAAAGTATTTAGTCAGCCACCGATTGTGCAAGTTCTCCCACTTAAAATGATGACAGAGGTCAGTAATTTTCATCATAGGTACACTTCAACTGTGAGAGACAGAATGTGAAAAAAAAATCCATGAATTCACATGGCAGGACTTTTAAATTTATTTGTAAATCAGGGTGGAAAATAAGTATTTGGTCAATAACAAAAATCCTACTCAATACTTTGTAACATAACCTTTTTTGGCCATAACAGAGGTCAAACGATTATTATAGGTCTTTACCAGGTTTGCACACACAGTAGCTGGTATTTTGGCCCATTCCTCCATGCAGATCTTCTCAAGAGCAGTGATGTTTTGGGGCTGTCTCCGAGCAACACGGACTTTCAACTTCCTCCACAGATTTTCTATGGGTTTGAGGTCTGGAGACTGGCTAGGCCATTCCAGGACTTTCAAATGCTTCTTACGGAGCCACTCCTTTGTTGCCCGGGCGGTGTGTTTGGGATCAGTGTCCTGTTGGAAGACCCAGCCATGTTTTGTCTTCAAAGCTCTCACTGATGGAAGGAGGTTTTGGCTCAGAATCTCACGATACATGGCCCCATTCATTCCTTCCTTATCACGGATCAGTCGTCCTGTCCCCTTAGCAGAAAAACAGCCCCAAAGCATGATGTTCCCACCCCCATGCTTCACAGTAGGTATGGTGTTCTTGGGAAGCAACTCAGTATTCTTCTTCCTCCAAACACGACGAGTTGAGTTTATACCAAAAAGTTCTACTTTGGTTTCATCTGACCACATGACATTCTCCCAATCCTCTGCTGTATCATCCATGTGCTCTCTGGCAAACTTCAGACGGGCCTGGACATGCACTGGCTTCAGCAGCGGAACACGTCTGGCACTGCAGGATTTGATTCCCTGCCGTTGTAGTGTGTTACTGATGGTGACCTTTGTTACTGTGGTCCCAGCTCTCTGCAGGTCATTCACCAGGTCCCCCCGTGTGGTTCTGGGATTCTTGCTCACCGTTCTCATGATCATTTTGACCCCACGGGATGAGATCTTGCGTGGAGCCCCAGATCGAGGGAGATTATCAGTGGTCTTGTATGTCTTCCATTTTCTGATAATTGCTCCCACAGTTGATTTTTTCACACCAAGCTGCTTGCCTATTGTAGATTCACTCTTCCCAGTCTGGTGCAGGTCTACAATTCTTTTCCTGGTGTCCTTCGAAAGCTCTTTGGTCTTGGCCATAGTGGAGTTTGAAGTCTGACTGTTTGAGGCTGTGGACAGGTGTCTTATACAGATAATTAGTTCAAACAGGTGCCATTAATACAGGTAACGAGTGGAGGACAGAAAAGCTTCTTAAAGAAGATGTTACAGGTCTGTGAGAGCCAGAGATTGTCCTTGTTTGAAGTGACCAAATACTTAATTTCCACCCTGATTTACAAATAAATTCTTTAAAAATCCTGCCATGTGAATTCATGGATTTTTTTCACATTCTGTCTCTCACAGTTGAAGTGTACCTATGATGAAAATTACTGACCTCTGTCATCATTTTAAGTGGGAGAACTTGCACAATCGGTGGCTGACTAAATACTTTTTTGCCCCACTGTAATATAATCTGAAAAATAGGTATGAACAGGTCCACAGTGTGAATCGCACCAATGCCTAATAGATTTTTCTGGGTCGGCTTTCCTCCATAAATTTACTGTATCAGTATGTGTATACTTGTGTGTACTGGATATGAAATCATGAATCAGTCCGAAAGTGTGACGAGGCAAGGGTTTCCAGTATTTCTTTCAGCTTTCCCTTCAGAAATGTAAGTAAAGTGATAATAGAGCAAATGTGAGATATTGTGTTTATCTCTGGAGATTGATCATTGATGCTTGTCTTTTAGTTTCTATCGTGCAGAGTCTGCCTTAAAATGTTTCATTTGTAGTCTGTTGGAGAATATGAACATAAACCTCTTCTGTGTTATATTTAGAGGGATTTTACTGACAAAATGCCATGTAATAAAAATGTTACTTTGAGGTAATGCAACCAGGTTTTCTTTGCCTTGTCTAAAGTCTACGTGTAGGAAATGGGAAGTTTAGCTTGTACTGTGATGGCAAACACAAGAAATAGTGACTGATGGAGATCATCTAAGGTCAGCAGGTAGCATTAAATAAATATAATGAGTTTACTTTGATTTGCCTACATTTGTCCAAAAAATACTTGACAGATTTAATATATCACTTGTCAAACATGGTGAGACAATAGTCCACAATTCTAATTGTTGGTCTAACATACCACCTGCTTGACCTATGAGGCAAAATTAAGCTGGAGATCACAGGTTAATATAGACTTTTTGTTTAGTTTTGTTGGTTTTCTTCTTTTGTGTCTTTGTTGACAGGAGTGACATGACTTCCTCTGGAACAACAAAAGACTTGATTCAAGACTGGATAATTATTCTCCAAGAGCTTTTAAAGTAACAGTGAGCAGTTTCCTGGTCCTCTGCCATACTAGTTGAAAGTAGAATAACAGCTGTCATAAACAACCCTGCTGTTGCTAGTGCTAACAGCGAGCTAACACTATCATGAGCCAACTAATACTAGTATAAACTGCATTCTTTACCGAATGAAAAAGATCCTCATTGTTGGACAAAAATATGATTACACATCCAGTAGCAACAAAGCCAGGTCACCATCAGTCTGGGATTTTGTAGCCTCTTGGCTCGCTCAAACTAGTGTAGGCTGTGTCATTGTCCACTCTGGCTTTAGCTCTGTGCTCCAAATACATTACTCTCTTACTTTTACTTCCTGCTCTGCCATGATGACAACAGAAAAAGCAAACAATACTTCTTGTGCTTTTTATTGACGATTGGTGAACTGAAAATGCTAACTGCCAGCATTACAGCTAACAGCCCTAAAGCGGGTAAAGAGCACCCCCTAGAACACCTACCCACTCCCCAGATCTATTGTGGTTTTTGGTCAGCAGAAGGCTTCTAAGTGGTCTCAAATATGAAACTGGTCAAGTTTCTAACCCAACAATCACTGAGATCAACGTTAAATCTCTAGCTTAAATTTTTAAATAACTATTTAGTGTTATTTAGACATTTTGGTGGCATTTAATGGGAGTATGGCTGTGTATGGGAGTATGTTCTTTCAAAGCTCATTAGACTTTAATGGGAGTACAGCCCCTAATAATTAATTAAAGGGTTTGAATGAATTCAGAACAACTTATTGTTTTTTTAGGTTTTTCAGAATGGATTGGACCAAAATGGTCACCCAACATATCATTTACAGCTCACTGTTTTAGCTTCTGTCTCATCAAAGCCCCTGACACCCCAGATTGTCAGTATTTTGTCCAAGGTTTGATTCAAAAAGTCGAAAGAAAAGCAAGTATTTGTTCCTAGAAATTTACCAAACTAGTAAACACTATCCATACATGTTGCAATCCAGGTATCCTGTCCTACGTTAGTCACCATCATCGTGTGAGAGAAAACAACTCAGTTTGATGTTGTCTTTGTAACTTTAAGTTAAGGAAAAGCAAAACTATTGCTGCGCTAAAAAAGAGGCACCTTTTTTCCCTCATGCTGGGTATTACTATGCATTGTCAAGTGCACAAATTTAATTTATCAAGGTCTAAGTGATCAATAGCATTTCACATATTGATGAGGTGTATAAACTTCTCCAAGGTTCGATACCACATCCCTTTGTAATCCATTAACCTCTCCCTGGAGTTCAGACCAACCTTAGATTTATAGGGACCTACAGTAATAAATCCACATGTACATCATTTAGTGTCTTGGGAGGGATTTGCAGAGTATTTCTGTCTACAAAGCATCATCTAGTCTCATCTAAATTTTTGAAGCA